GCCAGCTCAGTACACGTGGTGAGCCGTTCAGAGGCAGACCTGCGCTTACCGTACTCATAAGAAGACGCCATTGCCCAGCAACTAGGGCAGGCGTTATCCATCCTCAGATGAAAGTCGCCACTGTGAGGCGTGAATAACCTTGCAGATAGTATCTTCAGCTAGTGCTGGTGTCAAATAAGGAGCCCTTTGACTTGGTTCTTGACGACACGTGACCGGCCAGCGAAGCGCGTCACTATCCAGGATAGGGTTAACCAGAGCCTGGGACGCGAAGCACGGCAATCTTAATACTTATACAGTGCCCACAGCTAAGTATATTCTTTTATGTGATGCATCAGGTAAAAAGTTACTAGTAGCAGGGTGATTGTCCGTTATGACGCACGATAACATCTAATAACAGGTGATTAAAATTTGTCACCTGTAACTCTTAATTTTCTTGACTATATAGATTCAGTAGGTAAATCATTTGCTACTGTAAAATATTTGTCTTGCAGCACGAGAGAAGAATTCTCCATGCTGCCTTCTCCCATGTTAACCCGTTCCACTCGTCAGTCGACCGAGTCCAGAGAATAAGAGGAACTTCCATGGCTTTCTAAAGGAATCTTCATTAAGCTAAGATTTATTTCCTTTTATGATTCTATTGCAATTTTGTGTGCAGAATTCTTAGGGATTAATATGTGGTTTACTGTAATTCATTATTATGCTCATAATCTATGTTCCCCTTTATGGTAATGATAACAGTTTCAATATTAGTTTATAGGATTAGATTATTATTAATTGAATTAGTGAACGAACCACACTAATTCCTGGACGTACTTACCTCCAGTAATAACCCCCCAATGTAGGTGTTTGAGGTTTTTTTCATTTAATAATACAGCCCATTAATTATTTCTATGATCTTATTTCTAGTTTTTATCCATAGTTACTGGTTTCATCTAGGAATTATCTAATGATCAGAAATTCTCAGTTTCCCTCTTTTCTACAAAAGCGGGTGGTCCTTCGTAATTTAATTTACTACATTAATATTTAAATAATCAGATTCAAGCCCCAAATATCCCACAACTTTTTCTCTATAACCCCTCGGTAGGACTACTTGATTAACTACCTCCCAAGTGTGTGACACAGGTGAGCTCCTAGGTCTCCACTTCCGCATCAACACCTCTTTAGTGTAGTAATAAGTCATAGCCTCCGATTCTGCTTCTAGTTCAGTTACTGCCTTATTATGCAAGTCAGTCAACGTAGGATCAGTTCTTTGCTGATGAATAAAATTTGATTTTGATCTCAAGTCTGAAGAGCCAGATGTGGTAACTGGACTACACTCTCCCCTACCCCCTTTTCCTAGGTGGTTTGGTGGAGGTGCTCCCCATCCTGTTCCCATCTGCTTCTTCCAACTTGGCCATAAAAGTGTCACAAAGATCCACTTCACTATTTGATTTGTTAACCTCTAATTTTGTCTCCTGACTTACATTATTGGGAGTTTGTGATATTTGAGACTCTGATTTTGACTGGGTCACGGCACATGCTGGGTACATTACCTTGTCCTCAGGATCTGTCCATGCCCTAATCACCTCTGGCTTAGTTAGCATTATTGGGTGGTCATCTCTTTTAACTCGATTACCAGCAAGATCATTCCCCACAATTAGATCAATGCCAGCAACTGGTAATTTAGGACTAACACCTACTAAACTTTTGCCTTTAATAAAATCACAGTCTAGGTTTACTTCTCTCAAGTGTACAGTCTGGAAATCTCCTGTGATTCCCTGTATAATCATTACCTCCCCAGTCTCTGTAGACTGTATATATTGTAACACACTCTCTAATAATAAAGATTGGGATGCTCCTGTATCCCTCAAAATTTTAACATCATGCCACAAACCATTTGCACACTGTAATTTTCCATTTGATATAAACGCTCCAAAATGATTTATAGCAAGTGCTTTTTCCCCATTATTTTTGTTACACATTTGGTTTTCCTCCCATCACACACTGTGAGTGCCATAGGCCTCTTTTCTGGGTGAGAAACCAACAACTCTTAACAACATGACCCTTCCTATGGCAGTAGGAACACTGTTTCAACTCTGGGTAAGGCTTATTACTAGTGATCCTCTTTGGGTTTCACATTACTCTCTTTACCACCTGGCACCTTTGAAAAAGTGTTTCCTTGACCTGCTGTTGGGTACATGTGGGACCCAAATCTGACTGGGAAGTTTACTGCTCGACCAGATCCTTGTCTATTTGACTGAATTTTATTTTTAAAAGTTACTTTATGCATCAACTCATATTCATCTGCTAATTTAGCCAACTCATAGATATCTCTGGGTAACTTCTCTGCCAAATACAAAGCCACATTATAAGGTATGCAAGATAAAAATTCTACTACTAGGAGTAAATTTTTAAGAGAGTCCAGATCCTTAATTTTCTCTGCATCTAACCATTTATTAAACATGTGATATTTCTCTTGTGCAAATTCTACCAAGGTTTGACTTGGGTCTCGTCTCAGTTGTCTAAACTTTTGCCTATAAGCCTCAGGAACAAGTTGATAAGCAGTAAGGATAGCTGCTTTTACCTTATCATAGTCAAAACTGTTACTCAAAGGCATAGCTGCAAATATTTTCTGTGCCTTTCCCACCAACTGACCTTGAAGAAGAGATACCCATTGTGTTTCAGGCCATTCCATACTCCGTGCCAACTTTTCAAAATGTATGAAGAATTGGTCTGGGTCAGACTCACAGAATAGAGGAAACTTGACATTTTTGTTAATCTTTAACTGCCCAGGTGTTCCTAAATCGTCAACACCGGTATTTTCTGATCTAATTCCCAAATCTGCTAGCCTAATCTGTAACTCTATTTTTTTCTGAGCTAGCTCCACTTCTAACCTCTTCATAGCTTGAGTTCTTGAGCTTGCTCTGCTTCTCTATAGCCTCTTCTGAGCTCTGCTCTGCCTCTTCTGAACTTGCTCTGCCTCTTCTGAGCTTGCTCTGCCTCTAGCTTCTTCTGAGCTTGCTCTGCCTCTAGCTAACCTCTTCTGAGCTTGCTCTGCCTCTATTCTCTTCTGTGCTTGCTCTGCCTCTAGCCTCTTCTGAGCTTGCTCTGCCTCTAGCCTCTTCTGAGCTTGCTCTGCCTCTAGCCTCTTCTGAGCTTGCTCTGCCTCTAGCCTCTTCTGAGCTTGCTCTGCCTCTAGCCTCTTCTGAGCTTGCTCTGCCTCTAGCCTCTTCTGAGCTTGCTCTGCCTCTAGCCTCTTCTGAGCTTGCTCTGCCTCAAACTGCAACTTCTTTAGTTCCAATTCTGCCTGCCACTGCAACTGAGTCTCTACCTTTCCTGTAGTTACAACATTTGCACCACTGGTGGACGGGGACTGCTCTAATATTTCCTGTGGGAGAATTTGCTCATCTACCCAGTGTATCATTATTTCTCTTAGCAGTTCCGTCTTCACCATTCCCATGTGCAATAATAGTCCATAGTGCTTGCCAACAGCCACTAGGATAGACTTTTTTGCCGCTTTCAAACCCTCAACACTAGGATTGTCGACAATTTGTTGTGCTACCAAATCCATTTTTAGTGTGCTAAGATACAGCAGACTCCAACACAAATTTATAATTCTGCACCACCTTTCTCTTTTTAGGCTGAGAATTTGTTTTGAAAACTGATAAGGACAGTGCTTAGTTCACTTGACTGCCCTGTCAACTGGTAAATTTTTTGCACTCGAGAACACACACAAAAATTTCTTAAAACACTTTTCATAAAGATTAATAAAATGTACATAAATAAGTAATAAAGTACATATTCATATTATACCAATATTAAAAATATTCTAAATTTCTACACAAGTTAAAGTGAAAAAATAAGCTACACAATTTTTATATCAGGTTACACCTACAGGCTATCCACTTTTATTAGGCTTTCGATCAGGCTGCTCAATATGTGAGGTGCTCTCGGACAGGCTACCCAATTGTATCACGGGGCCGTGTCTTACTGATGTTATCAGTAGTGATACGTTTTTGTTGTCATAGAGAGCTAGTGAGAATTTGGTGGTGGTGGTCCTTACAATGTTGTCTAGGGAGTATAAGGAGTAAGGGAAACAGCCTAGTACACAAGTCACAAATTTATACGTACAAGTCACACAGGAATACATTTAACAAGGCGTTTTCCTCACAACATAAGATCACTATGTATTATAAACTCAAGTGGCTCTGACCACCCCACGGCTCACTGTCCCATACCTGGTGTCGTGCACCCAGCCACAAACCGCTATCATCCAACGACACATATATTTTTGCCTCTAGGAAACCTGGACTCTTATAAAACCTCTCCAACTTCTGTAATATTACTCTACCCAATCTTGCAACCCTGGATATAGACAAGGATAGGCTTATCTGACTGAACGGCCGGAGAAAACCCCTCAAATAGCAGGAACGGTCGGCAGCGATACACCTCCCCCTTCAGTCAAGATGGCGTCCACCTTTCTTGCATCATCGCCCCTTAATACTCTATTCTTTACGTATGCTATCAAACACATTAATGATTTTATTTACTATATTCCCCATGCATACTTTTTTATAGAGTCCATTTTTCCCTTACATAGTTAAGCTATTCCAGTTCACATTATTTCTGATGATCTCCAGCTGAGAAGGCACTACTTTACTGGGCGGAGTAATAATGGTGACTCGCGGCCTCTCTGATCTCAGCTGGGGATTTATACTAATAAACACTTGCCACTGTGTCCACCAACACTTTACAACCGAAAGCAACCTCCACAGGAGGTAAGGTTCGTAACACCCCACATACTCTCCGACCCCACACAACATGACCCCCCATCATCCCATACCGCGTAACCAAACACCGGACGCTCACATGCGTCCGGCGCACGCCAAACAACCGTAAACAAAGCACTCTACATACCTCAACAAGCTGTCACACCTAGGCCTATTAGGCCTACTTGACAGCCGGTGCGCACGGTCATTGGCGTACATTTCACTACTGACGCCATAGGTAGTCATGATGCCATGGGTAGTGATGATGCAAGGGGTAGTCATGACGCCATGGGTAATCATGACGCCATGGGTAGTCATGACGCCATGGCAGGTGACAATGCAATGGCTGCTGTTGAAGATGCCATGGCTAGTGGTGACGATGCCATGGCTGGTGGTGACGCCATGGCTGGTGGTGATCCCATGTCTGGTAGTGACGCCATGGAAGGTGATGCCATCATGGATGTTGGCGACACAATGGCTGGTGGTGAGGCTATGGCTGGTGGTGATGCCATAGCTGGTGCTGACGCCATGGCTGGTGGTGCCGCCATTGCTGGTGGTGACACCATGGCTGATGGTGACACCATGGCTGGAGGTGATCGCATGGCTGGTAGTTACGCTATGGCTGGTGGTGACTCCATGGCTGGTGATAACTCCATGGCTGGTGATAACTCCATGGCTTGTGATGACTCCATGGCTGGTTATGACGCCATGGCTGGTTATGATGCCATGGCTGGTGATGACACCAAGGCTAATGGTGACGCTATGGCTGGTGATGACACCATGGCAGATGGTGATGCCATAGCTGGTGCTGACGCCATGGCTGGTGACGACTCCATGGCTGGAGATGACTTCATGGCTGGTGGTGACGCCATGGCTGGTGGTGACGCCATGGCTGGTGGTGACGCCATGGCTGGTTATGACGCCATGGCTGGTGATGACACCATGGCTGATGGTGACGCCATGGCTGGTGTTGACGCCATGGATGGTGAGGACTCCATGGCTGATGGTGACGCCATTGCTGGTGGTGACACCATGGCTGGTCGTGACGCCATGGCTGGTGGTGACGCCAGGGATGGTGATGACTCCATGGCTGGTTATGACGCCATGGCTGGTGGTGACACCATGGCTGGTGGTGACGCCATGGCTGGAGGTGATCGCATGGATGGTGGTGACGCCATGGCTGGTGATAACACCATGGCTGGTGGTGACACCATGGCTGGAGGTGATCGCATGGCTGGTAGTTACGCCATGGCTGGTGGTGACTCCATGGCTGGTGATGACTCCATGGCTGGTGGTGACGCCATGGCTGGTGTTGACGCCATGGATGGTGAGGACTCCATGGCTGGTGATGACTCCATGGCTGGTGGTGACTCCATGGCTGGTGATGACTCTATGGCTGGTGTTGACGCCATGGCTGGTGATGACACCATGGCTGGTTATGACGCCATGGCTGGTTATGACGCCATGGCTGGTGATGACACCATGGCTGGTGATGACACCATGGCTGGTGGTGACGCAATGGCTGGTGATGACACCATGGCTGGTGATGACACCATGGCTGGTGGTGACGCCATGGCTGGTGATGACACCATGGCTGGTGGTGACGCCATGGCTGGTTGTGATGCCATGGCTGGTGATGACACCATGGCTGGTGATGATGCCATGGCTGGTGATGACGCCATGGCTGGTGATGACACCATGGCTGGTGATGACACCATGGCTGGTGGTGACGCCATGGCTGGTGATGACACCATGGCTGGTGGTGACGCCATGGCTGGTGATGACACCATGGCTGTTGGTGACGCCATGGCTGGTGGTGATGCCATGGCTGGTGGTGACACCATGGCTGGTGGTGACGCCATGGCTGGTGGTGACGCCATGGCTGGTGATGACACCATGGCTGGTGATGACGCCATGGCTGGTGGTGACGCCATGGCTGGTGGTGACCCCATGGCTGGTGGTGACACCATGGCTGGTGATGACACCATGGCTGGTGGTGACACCATGGCTGGTGATGACGCCATGGCTGGTGGTGACACCATGGCTGGTGGTGACGCAATGGCTGGTGATGACACCATGGCTGGTGGTGACGCTATGGCTGGTTATGACGCCATGGCAGGTGATGACACCATGGCTGGTGGTGACGCCATGGCTGGTGATGACACCATGGCTGGTAATGACGCCATGGCTGGTTGTAACACGGGGACTTAAGCTGGACTTGGAAAATTTTCCACCTACGTTTCTACTGAAAACAGAATTCTAAGTCTAAAAACGCAATTCTACCGTGTTACTGGTAAAACTAGAAAATATCATCCGCATCGACTGGGGAATCCTAATGACACCCAGATCATACACGTGACCCACGAATACAAATTTATTACAGTTAACGACTTTCCGATGTTGACTTAGCCGAAAACTTATCCCAAAATACTTAGAAATATTTTCACGTGCTCTCTCAAACATTTACAACGAAAATTACTATCTCTTAACAAACTCCTTCACTAACTATAGTGACCGACATATAGCCCTAAGTCCAGAGGATTAACTACGCACTAGAAAACCACACCTTTGACTTAGACTAATACAACAGGGACTAGCAAAACTTAATGTACGGACTTAGCCTAATATACAAGAAAATACTAACACTTGGGAAAAAAATTTAACCGGGGATTGAATTTAGGGAAAAAAAGTTAATCTCTAGAACAACGCAAATAAACGGAATTACTTTATAAATTTAAGTATACTTAATTCAATGATACACTCGACTTAATCCTATAATTGCTCCTACCGGCTCGCCGTACCGCACCTAGCCTAGGGGTCTCGACCATCTAGATTCTAACAGAGCGACACGCAGCTTTCAGCAACAATTAAGACTAGAGACGACTCAACCTCCACTAAGTGTGCGATCACTTAGTCGTTGAATCGCTGCTAGGTAGGTTACTAGTCCAACCCTCGGAGGCCGCAACGCCCTTCACGGATTTACGTTTTTCCCAGCGTTTTGGGTCGTCTAACAACGCCCTCGGACTATCTCCTGGCGTCCCACAGATAAATCCGCCCAGACAGCCCACAAGGAACTGCTGTTGAGAGTATGGCGGCTCCCATCACCTCTGAATCAATTGCAATGGGTCGAGTAAGGTTCCCAGTCCAATCAACTCGGAGCGTTCTCCTAATCAATAATCTTAACAGCGTAATCTTACTAACTAAACCTTAATCGTATCAGCCCGCACGACCACGATTCCCCAATCCCCACTCAACCGCACTGTTGTGAGGTGCACTGCTAATCCTGGCCCGCGGCTGACTCCCTAGCATCCACGCACGTGTCCGCATGGCTAGATGCGTGAGCCTTTCAACAATTTCAAACAAAATTGTTGAAACCACCGCTGTGCACCATTGTAACACGGGGAAGGGGTTCTCGAATGAACTTTTCTCCCTTTACTCTCCCTCTGCCCGTATCTTACTTTTGTTCTCTACCAAGGGACCCCAAAACTTTCACTTAAGCCGACCCCACGCCACGTGGTCTCAAGACGATTGACCGACTTTAGATTCTACAACCCGTATGACGTGGACTAGGCTTCTAGCAAAACCCTAGGGTCGCCTTTCCGCCGCCACCACCAGACCAGTTACCCTGAGCAATGATCGAGGTCTGGATCGATCATGCTAATCAATAACTTTGGGGCTTTATCCCCACTAGTAACATATAACCTTGGATCTTAAGTGTGGAATTAAAAATCAATGGGAATACTGAATTATGACTCGGTGTTAGAATCGGCGCCCAATTCAACTCTGCCTCGTGGGGACCACGTGACAAGGACAAATTCACATAAATATAACACACACATGGAAAATAATGCAAATGCAAATTAATAACTAATTAATTTATTCAAAACTAAAACAAACTGTAAGAAATGGCACTCCCTAAACTTGAACACTCCCTAATTGACCAGATCGGCAATGAGTGACCTATTCCCTACAATTACTCGTAAAGCAACTCTACCTTCGTCGACCAGCTAGATGTTCGTGCTGTCTGGAGGCCGATGATAGGAAGGCCACCTGCTCGAGCTGCTACTCAAACCACACTGATCTCTGCTCGGCTAGCCCTACCCAGACCAGAGCATTGTATCCTTCCACCTAGTCTAAGTTTTACCAAGTTACTAGCACGGCTTAAGTTTTAACAACTAACCTCTGTTGCACTGAATGATCCAGATTGGTTGAATTATTTTAACTGAAGTTAAATTACACAAGCATCTTAAGGAAGAGCTACTCCCGATCACAAAATGAGTATTTGACCATTGAGAAATAGAGAACATGGAATCCTCTGGTGACCTATGACCGCCAAGTCACTCCACCTTATAGCCTAGTTCTGGCTCGTGATGTCACTGATGGTGACTTAACTCACGTCTCCTAATAATTAGAATATTTTTGATATTATAAATTAATACTATACAATACAATTTGAATACAAAATGAATAGAGGCTAATTTCTCTAAATAAGTGAATACTATAGAATGATTCCTTATACAAAACTATGAACAAAGACGCCAGCCATTTTGTGACTCAGACTTGCTAATCCCCAGTGGAATGCGCAATGTTGAGGTCAGGTCCCTACACGAGACTTCTGGAACCTTCTGGATAATTCTTACAACAAACCTAGTTTGTTACAGAAGTTTGTTAAGAGTTCTTATGATGAAAATAAGTTGGAAAATCTTAAAGAAAAATTTAGGAAAAAATCACCTTTAGGACACAGCATTTCCATGTAAAACTCTACGGACATATTTTACCTGTTTTCAAAACCTCTTAATTTTCAAAGACCATTTTCAGAGAATATTGTCTTAAACGTTTTGTTAAGGAAAACAGACATCTTAGTCATGACTTTAAGTTTTATAATCCTTTACAGTTGTTTCACCTGTAAAGACCCAAAAATAGTCAGAGACAGTTTAAAGCTCAAATTTCATCAGAGGCCAGTTTATGCCTGAAAATAATCAGAGTCAAGTTTTACCCTGAAAATTAACAGAGTCCTGTTGTTAACCTAAATTTTTCAGAGTCGACATTGGGAGCAAAATTCTTCAGAGTCCAGTGTGTACCAGAAAATATTCAGAGTCCAGTTGTAGACAGAAATTCATCAGAGTCCAGTTTATGCCTGAAAGTAATCAGAGTCAAGTATTACTCTGAAAATTAACAGAGTCCACTTTGTGCCCAAAAATATTCAGAGTCCACTCTGTGAGCATGTTACAGACCCGAGTCCAGCGTCCGAGCACGGAGTGGTGACGACAATGCCATCTGTGGGTCAGCTCCCGAAACCCCCTCCAAATGGACAGCGCCATCTTGTGAGGACAGGATATACCGGCCACAGGTGCTGGATTCCCGTCTGGATCAGCTCATAACATAGCCGCTGCTGACCTCTGGTGAGGTGGCGCTTAGACAGCAACACCATCTATGGAGTGGATAGGTGGAAGTTTGTGTCTAAGCCTGTAAGTGAGATGCCCTAGAGTGTCCCTAGTACTGATGACGTGTCTGATTACAGAGTCGACCTGGGACTGCTGTATTGGACGATGAGGAAGTCTACTCAAGGCAGCCATAGTCTCTCCACGAGTTTGCTCTGAGGAAGCTGTGAGTCACCCCTGGACGGGCACTGTTGAGTGTGTTAGCCTGCCTGTGACGTGGCAATACTAGGATTCGTCTTATCTGGGGTCTGGCTGG